CGGCACTTCATAACAACCTACCCTGTTCTTGCTCTAAATCGAATCTAATTCAATAACACTGCATTAGTCCACACAAGCAACAATTGTAAACGTTTCAATTACTCAATTTGTGTGAGTTCGAAACAACACAGCTATAAGTAGTACTTGTTTGGAAGTCGTCCTACTGAGACCAAAAGACTGCGCTGTAAACTCGGAGCCCAGTTTAAACTGTACTCCCTCTTATCTGCCGTAATGGAATAGTCACGTTTTCTGGTCTTCGATGCATTGGAATGATAGCTGTAGTATTTAGTTTACTTTATTGCATCGGCCGTTGGGACCACGATGTGCACTTTATTGTAAGCATGCAAATCGACTTGAGATGCTTTGTTGCCGCCTTTGATTCAACAAGGCGTCCAGAAAGCGGAGGTAACGTATGAAGGATGAAGTCGAATAGGACATTCAACACTGATCTCACTTTAGTAGAACGAAGATGTCGTCACTGCGTTACTAAGCTTTAACACTTAAAATCAAAACTTAAAGAGTGCATAAATTAAAATTCCTACTTCATTAAATCGCTTGCGTGCGCATTTTTTTTAAATTTTGACGACCCTTGAGCCCCTTAACAAAATGTGCAAACAACAAACAACTCAGCGTTGCATACAAAGCAAAGAAGCTAAGTTGCGTCGAGAGCATTTTCTTCTAACCACTTTTGCATGATTTAGTTGTATTTTCGTCGTTTTATCATACATGAGTCCACAAAGCCATCAGACTTCATCTCCTGTGGATTGCAAAAGATTGGTGTCTTCACGATCACGATTTTTGAAAGCACATTGGTGGTTGTCTTCACTTCTCAAGATCAGCATTAGTTCCAACAAATGAACGCCTAGAGGGGGATTCCTAGTGCAATGCTAACTTGACCTTTCCTGGACAGTGCACTTCATAACATTTCGTTTTAATGTACATCTGCAGTAAATCCTAGGGTATTCTTCATTTCCCAACCTTTAACTTGTTTAAGCACAGGTACATAGAATGAATTCCCTCAGGTGTGAAGGGATCAAGAAGAAGACACACACGCCTACAAAAAAGGAAGTGTTGATGCCGATACATAATGGTTTCATAAAGTGAATCCTCTTTTAGCAGCAAAATGTTAACTCATCGCATTAATTGAGGAGACCACTGTGAGGGTTAGGAGTTCACATCTGGGAACAGAATGTACACATTCAATTTGATACAAGCCTTCTTTGGCCGCGTCACTAGCTGATTTAAAACGAGTAGCAGCACTTCATTTGCCGACGATACCAAATAGGGGCTAACTGTACCTCCGTATTAACACGTTTGTTCTAACTAAGGCTTCCTGTGCGCATGTCTTTAGGTTAGACTTGAAAAGACAGTATTTTGTAGTGATGTCTGAGCACTGTAACTCAAAAGGTATGTGATTATATTTAACGAACTCATCAGTCGGTGCACTCATTTGTGGAGTAATTAGTTTGCATTGCGGAGCAAGCGGATTAAAATGGAACGCCTATGGAAACGTTGAAAGGCGTCCTGGGTCGTGCTAATGATTGAGTAACCCCGTTTGAAAACAATGCAGGTTAAGGCAGTGACTGCTGCTAACAATACTTTAGGCCAGTTAATAGGCAATCATAGCGTAGTCTTTGACACACTTCCAAATTTGTACATTAATATCTTCCATTTACAGCACACAGAAAGCTCTCGTTGCCCTTTAATCCATTGCGATGCTTTGTGGTATGCGTGCAGTTGGCTGTTTGGGGGATTTCGCCTACGTTACTCCTCGTGTATGCGATTTCTCCGCCTACAAGGACTGATCTAGCAGGGGGAGGGTGAAACTGGGACTGCAGCATAAAAGTAGCGAACATGTCTTTTATTCTGCAAGTTACATTGTCATCTATTCGTGCTATCAAACAAGAAATGAGTCGTAATGCCAAGCAAGGCGTGACATGTTTTGGGATGAAACATTGGGCAATCATAAAAGCGAGGTGATCGTTGGTTTACAGATAATATGGTGATTTGTCGGGACTGTTATGCTCCTCAGCGCCGTCAACTAAATTATTGTTTTACATTAAAATATCATTGCTATGCGTTCATTTTTAGTGACTAGAGCCAATAGTGATGCGGAGTTCATCAGAAGAAGACCCAACTTGAACGGACATAATGAGTGCCATCAGAACTTGGTGGGAAAATTTTAGCAAAAGACGAGCTTTGAACTCACGTTGGTAAAAAATTTCCGTGCAAATTTGTTTGTAGTAATTCTCAAGACCAATCTGAGCGTACGCATTACGTGGTCATATTCCACCTTTACCCTAACTCTTACACTTTTTACTACGAGGCAGCATGATTTTCGCTCTGCCAATGCAGTGCAAAGTCAAGTTTGTTTAGTTTTACGTGAATGCAAGACTACAAGCACAAGTCATCTTTGGGAGCATCGGTAACTGCAGAAGTGCAGTTCTGATGAGAGATTCTAGTTACATTAAAGCTTACGACAATAGTTTAATGCCACCTGCAAAGCACTTAGGATGACAATGCTCCGTAAACCGGTCCCATTTAAATCACATGAAGACTGAGTCTAAATAAGGTGTTTTTGAAAGGTACGTTAAATCGTACTTAGTTTTGGCTCTGAGCATTCATCAACACTGCGACCTTTCGTGTATTTTCAAGCTTATTTGTAGTCTTGCACTACACAACGAGCTGTTTTTCCAATTGTGCTTTCAAACAAGGCTGGAGCGCCATCTGATCTAGAGGGATACGGCTCAGGGAACCCGCTGTTCCCCATGCTCGCCATTGGAGTACTTCAAACTTAAAGTAGAGGAGCTGTTGCAGAAGTCGTTGTCCTTATTCAAGAATGACAAACGCCCCACTTTTACTTTTATAGGTTGAATCGAAATTTAGCTGCAGTTTAGATCTACTACTACGAAAAGTGGCAGAGGGCTAAAAGCTCGAATTCCTTTAAATTTCTCATTAAAATGGAGAATTTGGCTGAAGGAACTTTTCTATAAATGAGAAACTGGATTGATAAATAGCCAAAGGAATGTTCATTCCAGCAATAATTCGGAAAGATACACTTAAACCATTTGATTAATGATGCGCCTTGCTACTTTTTGATCCAAATTTTACTTAACAAGATTAACATACAATACGAATGCCATTTTCCGAAACCATTGCAGAGAAGCAGTGGGGACAATTGCTACCGCTTGAGGATGTTGACGCAGATATATTCGATGGAAAAGAGGAATTCGAGAAAGAGTTGGTCATCAACATTACCGATTCACCCAAAGGAAGAACATTTGTCCTGGTAAGATGCATTTCGCAACTCTAGCGTGTCAAAGGTAACGAATGTCTCCTAAGTATTTACCTACGGTCGAGTTCGCTAAGTTACATAAAGCTTTTCTTTTGACGTTTACGGCTTCCTCTACCACCTTGGGGTAAAGTGCTCGAAAAAGAATGTCACCATGGCGTTATTATTTCTCATCTAAGACGTTGCACAAGCATTCGGGTTAAAACGCACCGACACTAGTTTGTGATCATTACCTGAGAGTCAAATGGGCCCCTAGCGCTGTTCTTTGCAAAACGAACCTCAAGACAAAGCTCTGGGTTTCAAGTTATCACATTAAGCCCGAGGTGTTTATGAAAAAATGCACGAAGCGTTTTCTGTTGTAGCATCCTCTTTGGAATATTCAATTTACTGTTCGTTTGAGTGAAGACTTTGTTTTGACACCAATGTTCGAAGACTGGTCTCACGAGTCCAGCGACAATTCCATGATATTATCAGCGGCTGACGAGTCACACCTTGCTGACCTCAAGGCTTTACTGCGAAAGGAGATCGCTACATTTTGCAGGTTGTTTGTACTCATTAATGCAAAAAAAACTCCTTTGCCATTGTACACCACTGGAATGGCATGTTAACTGTACGTGAGGATTCATTTCACCTACATCCTCTGAAATTGATGAGGCCTAAATAGGAGGAAAGTTCATTTTTCCTCAACCAAAAATGGTGAAATTCAAAATAGGCGCTCATTAGAAAAATATAAAGTCTTCCGCTCAACTATTTTCCTATCCATGATTAACGTTTCAACCGGTGATTTCATTTAAAATTAGGTGTATTTTTAATCAAAGATAAAGAGCAGGATCATTTGGAAAAAAGTACTTTGTTGATCATTTGCTTCAAAAATTCGCCCCTTTTTGCAAATGTTACATTTTTAGGGACGCCGGAGAAGGGCGACCGATTCAGAGTTTGATGGAAAACTCTAATTCACTTCCACCATAAAATATTGCCACAGTTAAAACTGTCAATTAAAGACTAACGGAACTTGTAGCGTAGACATCCAAAGACTTAATTTCATCATTTCCCACTTGTTTCAAAAAGTGGGAAGTGATGAAATAGCACACGAACAATGTCCTTCCACATTCGCATTTCGACTAGCATTCGTTTCTGCGTTGACATTTCAATTCCTTTGCAAATTTTTCATTTGAAGTGGGCATTCACATTGCAATAGCGATAAACCTTCCGCGAAACCGGCGTCAAAAATTGCTTTAACACCACATTTTGCCAACAAACTTATTCATAAGGGATGGATACTTGATTGGGTGAACAAGTTAATTGGAACAAACATTTCAATCTCCCAAGTATAACTTTGGAGACGTGCTCAGGCTACAAATGCTTCAAATGGATGCTGCAAATTGACTGCTGTTCATGGAGAATGCACTCAACGTCTGTTGTAAATGCAGCAGTTGTCAAGGTTTTCGCTTCGTAATCCGCATGCCAGCACCGCAAGACTCTGCATCGTTTTACTTGAGTAAACCTCAATCCAATCAGATGACGAAATCGTTGTCTTATCTTTTTTTGTTATAATCGCCGTCAAAAGTTGTTTACAAATGTGCTGATTCCCCGTACTTTTAATCTGGGGTGCCACGAGTTAAGCAAGTTTTCCTCTACTCAATTATTGCATCCATTGCACTTTTTTCATCATTTTGTGGTTTCTGATTAACGAATATTCTAAAATTAGGCGTGCTGTGATAAGACAGTGCTTGTCTTCAGGCAACCACTACCAAGGCGATACTACTTATCAATGAAGCCCTATCCCGACAGGCAGACAGCGGCTATTCTTCGGAATTTTTCTGCTGACGTTGAAAGTAGGGTAAACTACAGGTGGTTTGAAAACATGGAGGCTCGTACATTTCAAAGAACACTGAATGAACCCTGCTCTAACAGTGTACGTGCCTCTTTTAAATAATCGCTTTGGCAACGAGTAGTTATAGTAAACCGTTACAAACGGACAAGGCATTTACTCATTACATGTTTACAGATCCAAAGTAGTCTTTCTTTTTGTCCATAATTTTCTCCTCATATACACTTACAACATTCACAAATCCCCATCAATTTCAACTTAACTGAAAAAGAAATCCTCCTATTTCATTTATAAAAGTGGAGCAATTCGTCGATGGGTTGTAACCTTGTTCTTCAATGGCGATTTAACTCTTAGGTCGATTTGCTTGAGGAAACAGGTTGAGGATTATGGAAAAACGAAAGTGACATTAAACCACTTAGTTTAATGGAATTGGTAAAACACAACATGGTTTAATTCTTATCACAAAATCCTAACTTTAAAATAAGCGTTGAAGGTGAGTAGAGATGAAATTCTTATCTAATACTGCTAGGTAAAAAGGATTTTGCAGCACCACATCCAAAAAGCTTTGTGGAAGCCAATTACAACGGCTTCAGCTGGTTTGGTTTTCAATGAAAAACGTGTTTCAAGACGCAATTGCAGTTCACCCACTGCAGTTAGCTAAGTTGCTTTTACTAGAAGGTGGTGGGGCATATGTTGTAAAAAATAAATTGTCGCTTAAAGTACGGTCTGCTCCACCTTTCAAACCGACTTTTGCCCCTAGCAAGCAAGTCTTGCACTTTTAGCGGGAAGGAGACGTATGTCGTGGGCAATTTTTGTTCTCAATTCTTGATTGCTTTATCCAAAGATAGAATAAACCTGAAAGGAACATCATCGAGTACTGTTCGTTTGCTAAAATCAAATCACCATTAGTTTTTTACTCTTAATTTAATAGTTTGCACTGCATATTTGCAGTTAGTACTAATTTTTTATTCACTGCCACGTGACAGTTTTGTACTGGATAGTAACACTTAATGCTTTCATTACGAGCAACACAGAGACGACATAACGTTTTCTCATGCATATCAAACTTTAAGGTACCGACGCCTCTTCAGTGGGAGTCAAACTCGTTTTACTGTACAACAAACTCTCCCCTGGTGACAGAGATATTTGAGGAGCACCTAACGGATTCTTACGTCGATCAGAGGAACGAGCGTTGCGACAAAGCTAGACGGATTTGCCAGTTATGTCTGATGCGATCGTGTGGAGTGAAGCATGTTGACTGGAACATGAGGCTTGCCACTTCCGCCTTGCTGGGTAAGTCAGGGTCCTGCAAATATGGCTGGCTATATTTTTGACAATTATGGCAAATCAAACTACCTGACATCTTTATTCTGGCGGTTATCACTATGACACACTTTTTTATTATTGAAGTCTTTGACAATAATTTTATTAGCAAAGCACTTTGTTTTGATAAAATCCACAATGCATGCACAATGCAACTTGGTTAATATCTAGAATATGTCTTTTTTTCACCAAATCGAGAAAGATTTGGGTGTTTAGTTTATTCCAAAGGTAAGTTGTTGACTACAAGACGCATTACTTTGCTAGCGTCATGATGTCGAACTGAGAGAATTGTATTTTGCACGAGTTATGTTCCAATGCGTCAGACATTGTGCTTAGAATGCAGTGTGCCGAGGCTTCTATTTGGCGACAGAAGGCATACGTTCAGGCAAAAAGGAAAGAGATGGACTTTTGACACGACCCGAAGGCCAACCCACCCGGCAGAAGCAATATGACAGCCACTTTGGCAGTACTTCATGAGCAATCGCAACTCCGACACATTTACGAGTGCACCTGATCACCATGATATCGCGAGGAGATTTAGTTTAATTAGTTATTATGCTATCAACGCAACAAAAAACCCTGCCAGTTTTTCCCTTCCCCAAAATTCGGTGGCAACGGCCTTATAGACTGATGTCGCGACAGTGCTGTAACTGGACGGAGGAGGTATTGGGAGATTCGAGGCGATGTCAAGCCGTAAGAAAACCGTCGGACTAAAAAACCATTTGCATAAAACATAAACATGAATCCGATTTAAAAAAAACTATGCTAGTATATCAATACATAATGAAGTAAACTTATCAATTGCAATAACAATGTAGTGCAACGTGATGGTATTGTAATAATAGTGCGATTGAGATATAAGTATCACTGTAATGAGCGATTTGTCGTTAATTTTGCATGCTTTTCAAGGGACATTTGGAAACACAAAATCATTGAAGAAAATGAAATCCTACAGTTAAATTGCAAATTCAATGCGATTCCTCCAAAGCGGCTTCATCCTTTGTTATTCATTCTCTAAAGGCCTGTTTAGTAGCTCAAAATTGTCGTTAAATTTTTACCCCTTCAGCTAGCCGATCACTAGCTATAGTTCGATTTGATGTACCAATAATGCTTACTTGCGAATTTCTTCGTTTAAACTTTAAGCCTCTAGTTGCTCAACCACTAGGGAAGAGAATTTGTGTCGGTGTGGATTGTGCCTGAATGAGGTTATTTGTGCTTGCAAACAAGATTGATGCGTAATTGAGTAAACTGATGAATGGCGCGCCATTGCGAGAGAGGTCACATCTACCGACGTGGACTTTTTCGCATTCCACTCTTTCGCCCTTGTTTCGGTGACATTTTATGCTTACAAACGTTAAAATAATGCTGGCAGTTGGACCTTCTCCAGCGTATATATGAATGTTCACTGGGATTATTTTTTGGAATGAAAGTTGGATAGAAGGTACCTTACATGAAGAGGAAGGAGCATTTTGAATACAAATTCAAGGCCTAAGAAGTATTTAACACTAAGGTTAGAGCCATTCGAAGGTATGGTCACAGCATAATTGCTTTGACAGGTTCGAATTCAAGCTGTTGTCAGATCCCATGTTACGCCTCTCCTCACTGCCTGCAGTACTTCAATAGGGAATGCTATCCACTGGATCGGTATCATCTGGAAAAGCCAAAACTCTGCTTTCGGGGTACGTCTAATTACTCCATCCAGATTTTACTTAAACAGGCAACGAGATTGCATTAGCATCGATGTGTTCCTCATTAAACCTAACTATTAATCATCGGCAAGCCACCAAATTCCTGAAAAATCTGTTATTTGCTTGGCTACCTCATTCTCTTAGTTTTTAATTGACCACCTGAAGGTTCTGCTTTAGGGAAGGGCTATAAATAAAGACAAATTTCGTAACTTGATGGTAGACTAAACCTTTTACGCTTCTGTTTGTGCCATTCGATGTTACAATGGCAAAAGGAAAGGCTTGAGCTTCTACAAACCGCATACTTTCCTTCATTGGCTAAAAATGATGAGTTCACGAAATAATTACGAAAAACTCCTTTCGTCTGTGTAACTTTTGATTGTTTCCCAGACCTCATGGACGACTTTTATTGTGTAAAAAATATTCCAAACGTTACCTCAGAATTAAACAAAGGCAGGTCCTCTGAGAAACGAACTCTTTCACTCTAAACATTCGCTAAGAAAGTGATAAATTTAGGCATTACGCAAAGTGAAGAACTTAATATGGGCGTTATTTGTGCTTCAGAACTGAATAAAAGGTTTGCTTTAATGTATCTCACCACAATATTTAGACTGTTGAGATTTACCGAGGGTGGTTACCCTATCTAAATGTCTGTGAACCAACCCTTCGATTTATAATGAAAAATTTTAAGAGATCGGACATTGCGGAATGCTTCTCTTTCGTTTACGTTGCACATTTTTCTCCGTTAAGCATGGCTACTTTTTGGAGACTTGTAGCTCGAGGTCTTCGAACTCCGCTTGGGTAAAAAATGTGAATCTGTCCTAGCATTTGCCTCATAGTAGATTATGTTAGACGACTTTTCTCTCAAAAAGCCCATTTACCGTTTCGCACGCCATAATCTCTCGACTGTAAGGCGGACTCAAAATGCCAGCACTAATTGACCAAGAGGTGCAAAACTTTCATCATGGGAACAAACTTCGAATAATATAGCAGCACCGTTAGCTACAAATTCTATTTTTAAACGTTCACTTGAAACGCTTTTCAGATGAGCGCCTAAAATAATGCAAAAAGGGAAAAAGGCATCAAACTCGAATGAATCTGTAAATGTGCATCTTTTAGCATTAGCGCAGAGGGGAAAATAGGAGGCAGCGGCGGTAGGTTTTACTCAAAGGTGGGACTTGCTTGCAAGTAAGAAGAAAGGTTACCAGATATGACTGCCTGTAACGTGGGTCAACGAGGCTAAAAATATCCCTTTGCTACATTTTGTGAAGGTGGGGTTTCGAGCATAGTTGAACTGTTCACCATCAAAATAGTGCAGTGACCTGACAAGAGTGTCCGCAATGCTTTGTGAAGAATGCACCTAGCAAACAATGTGGTCGCTTCTTTAAACAAGCTCGGGAAAACGCATTTGGGGCAGTTATTGTCGGAAGGTTTCTACAACAACACATATAAAAAAAATTGAATTAGTTGCCTCATGCAAAGTTTTTAAGGTGGAAGTCCCAGAAATTCAACGCCATGCATAAGGCCCATGGATTTTGCTGTAATCCCTCGCCCTAGCGGTCCCCGCATTTATGATGCTGTTCCCTCTTAAACCTACGAATGAATGGCTTTGACAAACCTAAATGGCTTTATTCTCGAGCACTGATTCATAATTTTGACCCTATAAAAACAACCTTTCAAATTTGTTGGTCCTTTAATCCTCGATAGGAAAAACGCTCAAATTCACCTTGACTCCGGACTTTGATTCCAAAAATGGAGGCATTCAGTGTCACATAAGACGCCGGATTCAAACCGCTTCTCAGAAAGTTATTTTAGAATTTGTAATGAATTTCACAACACTCGGAAAAAAGTGGAATTCCAGAACCACCGAAATGGCTAGTGGTTACCGTTCGAATTCGTATCAGCTCCGCACATTCTTCCGCTTCCTTCCTGAAAAAATTGTTCATTTCTTAAAAAACCACTTCATTTTTGAATTGAGAACCAACATTCCCGATTTGGAAGAAGGTATACTTGTGAAAAACGTGCCGAATAATTCGACGGAGCCCGAATTCTTTCTTATTGACTTGGCACGACGAGGAATGAGTCCGTCGTACCAAAAGTGTATTCAATTGTTCCGCCAAAGAGAGCAAAAATACATAAAATTTCAGGTAAGTTTTAATAGCGCTACGATTTTGACTGGATATGAGAAGTATGTGATTGCGAAATAAACTTCCTTGACTATTTGATGGCTTGGCAGGTCAAGGTTGATTGTGCTTACAATTTAAAGCGATCTTCCTTTTTTCATTCAGTTTGAGATTTAAACGATTATGAATGATGACTTCTTATCCGAAAAGACTTATTATGGTGCTGAAATCGCAAAACTATCCACGATAAGCTTAGAGTTCCAGCTTAAACGAGTTCTGGTAAAGCAAAACATTTACTAGGGAGAACAAACGCCTTGAATCTTTTCATTTTAGAATATTAAACCGTTCCAATTTAACACAGAAAATTGGCATAAGCAAGGATGCTCAGTTCAAATTACTACGAGAATAACGCAAGAACAATCAACAGAGAATGCAACATACAGGAAACCAGTAGCAGTTCACATTGCCCCACCTCAACAACCCGGAGCGCCGTTTGCATATATTATTAACGAAATAGACCACAAGGTTCAGCTCCAAATATCAGCCAAAGGTAAATCTGTGGGGAGCAAATTCCTTCTTTCACACTTTGTCAAATAGGAGAAGAGTAAATTTAGCTCTTTCATGCAGAGAAAGGCATCAAATGCTTGACCCAAGATGCGTAAAGAGGTGACTTTGAGTGCTTTGAAATAATTGTGTTTTACGCAACTACGGTTATCGTACTTAGGGTATGGCCTTACTTTGCAACTGTATCTGGACCTTCTCAGGAAACTCAAAACGGTCCCTTCCTTATACAAACTCTATTTTACAGAGCTTGCGATTCTTTTTGAGGCGCATTTTACTGCAACCTGAAGATTTTTGTCTTGGCGCACTACTTCAGTCTAAGCGATCCATCTCGCAATGCGTTAGCGTTCAATTCTGCGATGCCAGATGCTTGTCCCTTTGGATGACCAACTGTCCATTTAGGATATGCTTTGCATCGATTCTAAAGACTGTTTTAAAGGAAGGAAAATGACCCACTAGATAAGGCAATGCACACAATGCATTCTCCCCTCAGTAGCCTGTTTTTCACTCTCTGATGGCCAATTCAATTACCACTCCTTCAGTGCTCTTAGACTATCAAATTCACTTAATGGAATTCGGGATCAGTGAGCTCAATAGCCTTCTGAGAGCTATAACTTTGGGAAAATTGACAGATAAACTCATTAGGAATAGGTTTATTTTTTTAAATGCGGCAAATGACTTCACCTATGATCTCAGGTGTGGAGAGTGGGTAAGACGATTTGGACATTTGAACAGGCGTATCTATGGTGAGGCCTTTCTTAACTTTAAGCTATGAAAAAGACTTCTTCATTCGTAAGCACAGGTTGTGCTTTGTAAATATATTAAACATAAGTTGTCACTAGTTATTCCTTGCTCTGCAATATCAGTGTCATAAGTTGATGATTATTGTTAGTCGCATATACGGACATTTTGGCTCAGTAGTAGCTGCTTTTATTTGCCTCACTTGACAGGCTTTATCTTGCTGTAAATATGAACAACTATTTGTCGTCTGTGCAACTTTGCTTTATTTTTTTTGCTGGAAGAGGCACCACCATTCCATGACTTCAATTGAATAAGCTCTTTCCTTCAAAATATTTGATAAGTGTACAGGGAAGGTTCATCTGAAACAGCTCACTAAACTTATTATTATTATTATTTAAAGTACATAACAGGACAGTAATCCATGTTCAGCTAGTTCGCATGGTTGCGGATCAAACTTCAGTTCTCTTCTCCCTGCCATACACAAGTAATTTAGGATACCTACATTGCAAAAAACACGATGAATCTGCAACTTAATCAAAATGATGAGATTACCAACTGTGTTTTAGGGAACCACAGGAGCCTTATGCATGCATTGTTCTGCAACTCACCCCAACTGTCTAAGTCACCTAAGCTCAGCCATCAACTTCTTCGAGATGCTGAGCATAAATTTGAACTTGGGTTAACAAAATTGGACAAATCTGATTGGGGAGGCAGCTGCAAATTTTCAAGGTCGTTGTTCACACTGAATGGTACGTATCTTCAGCTAAATTTGTCAAGTGCTTTGTATAAATTACTACTTGTACCGTACTCCTTCGATATGCTTCAAATGCAGCCAGTAGATAGCTGTAACCAGATTTGTGCAGCATTACTTCTTCGACGTCGGTTTAACCTGTCTTTGATAATTGCATTCAACCCCTTATCAGTAAACAGAAATGTACCTAGTCGAATTTCATGCTTAATAGACTATAGGCTTTGCGAATTCGAGTGGCGTACGAAAAAAATTAGTGAAAAATTATACTTGGAACAAATGGCAGTAAGGAAAATTTAAAAAAACTTGACGTTACAGCTAGAACTGTGCAAATTTTTTGCGGCTACTCAGCATGCCCTCTTTTTGATGACCAAATCAACTGTTAGATTACCATGCCGTAGAATTTTCAGTAAATATGATGAGATCCTATTGAAATTCCTGCAACCGGATAAGAATTTATGATTTCTCCTGCTTTTTTGCTGGGAGTAGACCAGTAGCAATTTGTTTCACGTGTAGTGACATTGCCTCTCTATGTTGTACAACGTGGGGCATTGTTAGCATTTACTATGACATAAATCAAGGGATCTTGCTTTTTGAAATCCGTAGATGCAAGCCATTTTACATACCAGCAGGATTAATTTGTACTCGTTTTGTTTTTTTTGTAACTACTTTGTTTAATGGCTTACACGTGGAAGCTAGCATTTGTTAGTTTATTGCTAGGATAAGTGGGAGGAAGCTGACCACTGTCCATTGAGTCTAGAAATCGAGTTTTACAGGCAATAGCTTTTACTTCATAAGGGCCTTTCGGTAGATTTGGATGGTGCTGTTTGTGACTCCATGTCTTCCTATGCTTGAAATTCTTCGTCTAGCCTAATGAATTTAAGATGTTTTCGGCGCTCTCCGGTATCCTATTGACGTTGCATTAAAATCGTGACATTCATATACTTCTCTTCCTATGAAGAACTAAAAGAATCATCATGACAAACGCAAATAAATAAGAGCTTTGGTTTTTGGCATTCTTGCCATGTTCACTTTGGGGTATCAGTTCCTAACTCACACTTATACGCTAATGCATAAGGGCTGTGCGAAGAATCCAACTGCCTATTTGACCTCTATTAAATGTCGGCTGACCAGGTCAGCCCATATTTGATTTCCAATTAGGTTTCATAACCATTATGTGTTAACGCATCAAGGGCAGGGTATAACCAGGGCATATTCACTTTGCTTGTAGACAGCATGCTGAACTGGCCGTTAGCATGGGCAAGGCAAAAAAAGTTGCGTTAGTGTTGTTACTCAAGGAACTCAGTAGCAATTTTTGTGCCGCCTCACTGACAGGCAATTAAGAGGCCATTGCGAACAATAACTAATGAAGTGTGAACCTTTAGTAGGCTTAAAACAACCCGCTCTCTTAGGATTACTTTTAGACAATGTTTTGTCGCATTATGTTTTACATATGTGCATAATAACAGGGCTGATTATGCCAAGAATTTTGGATGTTTAGTGTTGAATATTACCTAACTCAGGGGAGCCTTGTTCTTGCACTACCTGTTGCTTCCTCCAAGGCCTTTACGACATTTTAACGAGTACTACAACTGATTTTTGAAGCAAAATACAACAAAATGAGGTAAAAGTTTTACCATTAAAAGGATAAAGGGAAATATGATCGTTGCAAACTTCATTCAGGTTTTTTTGTTTTGATTTAGAATTTGAGAATGCCAAGAGTCTAACAAACACTCTATCACCTGATACCTGATTGGAACGTAGGCTGCAATATAATCGTTGATTGAATTAGGAAGGTCTGTTTTTAGCAGGTTGCGGTATTACTTGTTGTTTAAGTTTTAGATTCCCGTAGATCTATCCTCATGTCTCCACCATTAAAAATGCTTTTAAAATCACCTTGCAGAACGCCTTTGTCTGTAAATTGGTGGCAAGAAAAGATTTGACAGACCGGTCGTCCGAAGTGTCCGAATTAATTATGCACTGTCGGGGACCTGGAATGCAAATGCAGCTTATTTTATTCTAGACATCAATGAATGGAATGCCAAAATTGAAAAAAATTTACCTTAAATTGACCTACACTGTTAGACGAGTCGCTCATTACTTCAGGGAAAGCATAGAACGTTCGGAATAAAAATCATCTATCATATGGCAGTCAGTTTAGTTGGAAGACAGCAAAATAAACTTCAAGAAATGCAAAAATTTTTAATCGAAACAATTTTTCAAAAATATTTTTAATTGGGTAGGGGTCCATAATATCAGCTTTTTTAGCGGGGCTTAGAATGTATTATCGAAAATCACAGGCGTGTTCGCTCACCAGTTTAACCCTAACCGCTTGGCTCGATCTTTGCTCCAAAAAATATTTAGAAAAAAATCGTTTGTCTACTGAGAAACAAGGTATTGCGAACTCTGCAAGCATTTTGGTCCCGAGATTTACCGCTATCGAACTGTTCTCTTGGCACCACCGTAATGTTAAACGCAGTAACATACTAAAAGAAAGTGAAAATACCGTGGACTCTCGTGTTCCCTCGAGGCTGTGGAACACTATAAGGAACTAGGCAGACAAGACTATGTAAATCTTTTTTTGGCGAAGGCTACTGCATAACTTAAAATTATTTTGCTGACTTCCGCAAGTTTTCTCTTTTGATGGAGGCAGTAGCTCCTCCCCTGACCCTGTGTACCATTTTCTTCTCACCAGAGGAGAAATTACACGAACTCTATCTTGCTTGGATTAGAGAAATTATGCTATTCTTTCTTCTGAAATACCATCCTTCTCTGCTTCTGTTGCAAAAGCACAAAGTGTGATAATGCTGATCATGAATGGAGAATCTGAGATCAAAGTGAAAAAGTGAGCTATTGACTCAAATTTTTTTGTCTGAAATACTACTATTTGCCAAATCCAATTTTTGTTAATAAATAGGCGAAACTCTAGAACATGTTCGTCAGTCTTTAGGATACAAATGAATCGACGATGTTGGCAATGAAGTGCAGTGATTGTAATGTGATAACATAATGTATGTTATTTTAAACACGTTTGAGCGGAGGGTGTTTTACCAAATCGGTTGTCGTGGCTGGTATGTTTTAGTGAACACGCATGGTTGAATTGATTCTTATAGTCTGGTTACGGGGCCTTTCGAACGCTGCGTTTCGATTGGTCGCGGGCGATGTGCGTATTCTCCCTCGGCCACTGCGCGAGCTGCCTTCAGGCCACCAATGGGGGCTTGCTCGGCTGCCGAATTCACGCATGCGCGTGCCAGAAATTGCCTCTTCTCGCTCCCTAAGACATCTGGGCTATTTCGTAGCAATCGGAAGTTTCTGTTTTGGGAACACAAGATCGGGACGCCAGAAGACCGACAGGATTATATACTGATATTTCCTTCCACTTTAGGTTGGGTTACGGGGACTCCAATTTACGTCGCACTCAAGCTTGGAACACGATCCGCCGTTGATCATGATGCACTAAACGTTTCGGATGATGTGCTTATTGATAAAGACGTGATACTATTCAGTAGTAGAAGAAAAGGCCGAAATGACTCAAATCTATTTTCCCTTACCTTTGAAATAGTTTTTCCTATCAAGCCACTCCTTCTCGTTTATGTGCATCTATCAGACTGTCAGAGCGAACATTATTTTCAGTACCTCATAAAGGACGCAGAAATTCAGCAAGACCGCCATCCAGCTCTATTGCGCACGCCAAGAGAAATGTCAGTAATGCTTATTGACACACAAGGTCTTCATACGCCACTGCCATTTCTTCTGCTCTCTATCTTCTTGGGAAGTCTTTATTTGGTGCTTTTCATAGCGTTTCTCATGCTATGTTTATGCAAACCCAAACGCCGGCAATTTATTGTACCAGCACTGCTGTTTCAGAGCTCCGTTCCGTTAAATTCACGTGCCTCCTCACTTTCATCAGCTCTCACAGAAGCTGCGAAATCGTCAACGTCTGCATTGGTGATGGAAGATGCAAGTCTCTACTCTTCGCCTACCCGCGAGAACTCAACAGGCGTAGTTCATTCCTCACGCCGTCTTCCTGCTACTGATAGCATTCCAACCTCAAGAAAAATACTTATTTTCCTTTATGTTTGTTTCCGCGCGTTTACAATATTTCTCTTTACATTCAGCGTTGGGCTATCAGTCCTGCTAAGCATTGAGTCAGAGTCATTTAAAACACTTATCTCATGCGTACAAAATGCGAAGGGTGAGAGAATCAGAGAGTTGGTTGGTCAAGAAGCAATACGACGAACTTTTCCTGCACAAAGTTCTCGAAGAACTGCGTCTCCATGGTTGAAAGAGCTTCGGCAGATAGAAAAAGCGTCCGACATTGAACTGACCAGTCAGGTAAGTTTAAGTGAAAACAACCATACCAGCATATATTATTGCTGCTTTTCCATGAGAAATATTTGGGAATGAAAAGTTAGCCTACGGATTCAATTTTGACTCGTAAATCCTTTTAAGGAGTTGTTGTATTTTACTGTAGTCATTTGGAAATTTAACGGAAAGTGGGCATTTAATGTATTTTAAATTAATAAATGAAGAGGAGCAGGTGTTCATTGCCTACGCATGACAACAACTAAAAGAGTCGTGCTTGGCACATCACACCAGAATTGCAGGCAGCCATACTCCATCAAGTGTAACAACTTTTACACAGATGGATTTCCGGTTTTTTTTGCCGTAGAAAAGTAAATTTAAAATAAAGCTGTTGCCTTTAAAGATGTTGTCTAATCAGTCATCCTATTCCCTTGTGCATGAAAATTTGCGCAAATAAATGACATTTTGGTAAACCTCAAAGCCAAATTCGAGGTACAGCCTTGAAGGCGGCAATGTAGGTTCTATTTGCAAATCGGCCCTAAAAGAATATTCAAATTTTAAATTTATTTGGCACTTATCTTGGTATGCACTATGCCGACACATCCTGTCCCATTAACCGTCCCGACAAATGTGTCCCAATGATAATAAATCTTTCGGTATGGCTTTAACTCGTTAAGCAAATGGAAGAACGTAAAGTCTTGTAGGAGAGTTAATCAAGGTCCATTGCCTTTGAGTGATAAAACAAAAAATATGTATGAAGTTTCGTTACTAAAGAAACATGAATAGCAAGACTGCGTTGCTTGCGTTGCTGCCCCCTCAATAAACCATCAAAATTCGCCTACTGAGGCGGCTTTATCGAACCGAGCAGATTTAACTTGAGTAAATTTGTGATGCTGCTGAGAATATTTTGCCATTTTCGCATAACACACCACCACTACTACCTTAGTAGACACAGTTGAGCATGTTTTGCCATGCGGAGTACATCACCTAGTTATTGCAAATGCAGAAAATAATCTGGTTCCTTTGCGTCTTCCTCGCAGTGGTTGTGCATGAACGAGGATTGCTGCTATCACCAACCTATGCAACAACCACATCTATTTACTACCACATAGCTTTTGATTTTTAACCCTATCGCTTTCATACCAACACGATTTGTAAAATTGTTTCGAAACATCTATTTTCCACATTGCCAATGGGCGTTGTCAAGCTATCAAACAATTTAATTTCTTCCATCAAACTTTAGCCAACGAAATCAACACTTATCGAAAAGGAAGTCACGCTCCGTGATCACTGCCTGATCTCAATATTTTAAAGTACTCATTCAACTCTTTACTTTTCCACAATGCTTCGTCGATCATGGAGTCTTCCAGCCTTCCGTTCGAGCAAATAATTTGCAATGGAGAGGCATTAATTAGTACGCATTCATGACGCATGGACAGTACTGATACTTGCATTGGGCTTTAGCCTTAGCTGGTTTTAACTTCACCATGACAAACACGCGGACAATGTCTACACTGGGCTTAGTCGACCATGGACTCCATTTTCATAAGCAATCGAAAACCAACGCATAAGCCGTTCGCAATCTCTAAATAACGTTTAATATTTTTCAAGTGGAACATTTTCTAACCATTAAGAATGCTACCAACGAGAAAGTGCAGCTCCTAACTGCCAGATCTCTTTTCGTGTATTTGCGTCGTTGTAAGTGTTATTTTACATTCCCACCAAATGCAGTAAGTGATAGCGTAACTTTCAAAATCCCTATCCGACGGATTTCCCTTTCGTGTTTTGCATTCACCGGTTAAGTCCACCAGCACATCTATGGTGTTTCAGAAGGCCATTGTTGTTTTGCCTAACGAATTAGGAATTCGAATAAGATTAATGATGGTGGTAATTGTTGTATGCCTTGCATGAAACCTGGTGTCTCAGTCAGAACCATTTATCCGAAAACACCTCTTCATACTTTGTCCAGATTCCTTAACTTTGGCACCAATGGCGTCAAGACATTTTATGCACCACTGTAATGCAAAGTACAATAAATGTATCTTAACAATTTTGCGCATATTTTTTAGTTTTGAAATGGCCAAATATGATATGCGCATATTTTCAGACAGCAAACTTTATCAGGCAGACATCGACATGTGAAATGCAAGAGTTGCGCGTCTCAGGCGAGGTGGGACTTTTGATGGCTGAAGTTGCTAGTCTCGTCGCTACAAGGACCGATATCAACGTATCCGGCAATAGATTGTCACCAAATGACCCTCAAAATTTTCTCCATCACATGGCTATTGCAAACACAACATGGGATTACTTGGAGACTGAACACTGGAACCCGTACAACATGTCTATCCAACGCTATATGGAAGATGTGAGAGTTCATGCAATTTTAAGTGTTGATTCCCGTGATTGAAGTTGATGTATCTTTTCCAGTTCAAATGAAGTCTTTAATACCTATAAGTAGAAAAGTTAATTTTGACCTATTTTTCAAAGGATTACTTGCGCAACGAGTAGCATTAATACATAAAGTAGGGATTCGTATAATAGGCTAACTCACCAAACGATGCCTTTAATATGCTAACGAAACCCTAAAAGCCCATTTGAAAGCTCGTAATTTTCAACATAACGACATCGTTTTACACCTGCTAAGATTGGACATCTGAGACCTCATGATGCAATAAAACATCTTATTTAGACAAGGGGGCTTCTTGACAATCAAATGGTTCAGCACTGGTCTCCATATACACTCTTACTTGAACGGATGTTGGAAAATCCTTGGTTGGCAACTGCACGCAGAGCTATGAATGCCACGAATGAGGCACTTCAGAGCCCTGAACTTGGGCGTTTCAGTGTGCGCTCGCCTTCAGCATCGGGGTATTTTGCTGTACTAACTCCAGCTGATCCGCGAGAGGTGGAAGCCCTCACTTTTGCAGGATTTCTCGGTATTCCGCAGCCCGCTAACGCCCGTTATGCCGAAGCTCGAATGTGGAATAGGTGATTTGTGTGACTAAGCGGCTGGTTACCCTTGCATATTCTTAGTGGTTCTCCTAGCAACTCCGGGCATTTGGTTAAAATTGTACTACTGCTAAGTGCTAACGAAGGCACTAGTTTGAGGTTTTATGTGAAATTGATGAGGCTGGCTCTGTTCGCTCTATAACACCACATCCGTCCTACGAACAAGGAAATAAAAAGGCTTTGCGAGTTCATTCGCCGCTAAACCAAAATAATTGTTTACGTGAAAAAAAGTAACGTATTATAATTTAGCAGCTCCTGTGCAAACATTTGGAAACGCCGTGTTCCAACGCTAAGACTTATGAATAATAAAAAAAATCCTTCATACTTATAACAATTTCATTTTTATTTAGCCTTCGCCAAAATGTGCATACACTGAAACTTCTCCGATACTTTGAAAATGTCAAGACTATGGAATCGTCAGCATTCTTGCCTCAAGCTGCTGGGCTTATCCATTCCCCAGATCCTTTCAAATACTACACTTACAGTGAAAACTTCACAGCAGACGACTTTGATGCTATACCCCCGAATTTGGCAGCAGGCATATTACGGGAACAAGCACACCAGCGTAGTTTAACACCTATCCCAGCAACTAAGTAAGGATTGCCATCATTTGTTCAAAACTTTCATCACACGCACAATGTATGGCCTGCTGAAATCTAAACTGAGAAATTTGAAACTTTGTTAGCCTAATGCAAACTGCTGCTAGGTCTTATGACTGCTAAAATCAAACCAGCTTGAATGACTGCGTATACGAGAATAAGGATTGTCTTTTGTTGTCGAATTTTGCGGTAGACTACAAATGGTATCAGAGAGGAAATGACTGATGCACTAGAGTGATCATGAGAATGCAAATGTAATCGGTACTGAGTGTCGATCATTGAGCGCGGAAACCCGTTGCAACCTTCTAGAACAATTAAAAATGATCAACGGAAAACTGAATAACTGCGATTGACTGGCACACCTATAAATTAACCATTTATGCCATCTACTGCTATTTATCTTTATTGCGTTTTTTGGTTGAGGAAAGCTTCCGTCATTTGAGTTTATTGATTCTTCCATTTCCTTGACCTAGGAATACAAATGAAGCTTCTTCGCTGCGTGAATGGATAAATATAGCTTATCTACGAGTCTTTCTACTAGTTCTGGATGCTTATTTAATTGTTTCACGATTTTATTCTGCATGCCGCAATTTCTGTGCTCTTTGGCTCGGCAAACGCCGACGGGTGTATCACAACACAAGCCAAAGGTCAACTGGTCCATCCAAAAGGCAGACGCCAAACGAGCATTGCAATGACGCCCTCTTATTGACGAGTAGTGAAACAGAGCATACAAATTCGCCTAACGAATTGCACCCGCCTGCATCCCCAACCGCGTGTCCCACAGAAAACACTGTAAGCATTTAAAACATTCGTGAATGCGTATTCCTTTTAGCGCTATTTAGCATTATCTTCAGTCTCCAGCTATATGCATTGCATGTGGCTCCCTTGAAATCAAAGTACCACGTTGAATCTCTGAGGCACCTTTTTTTAAATTCGTTTGGTGATTGTAAACTAGCGGAACTTATCCAATTTATTTATTTGCTTATTATCAAGCCCATTTTTACTTTTTTGCGTGGCCTTGAATTTGATATTCATGTCATCCAAAGCTTGCCTACTTGAAACAATGTGCTATTTTTAGGCTCAAAATATTATTACACCGAATCGACCGCCATCCTTTGATGGGTCAGGTGATCAGGGCCCAAACCTTTTCTCAAATCACACCGAGGTAAGCGCTGGCACTTCACAATTTCCCTTCATGTCTCAGCACCCGTGATAACTCTTCTTCAATACTGCAGTTTAAATTGTGTACACCTACCGGGAACCCTGTGTACTGCTCCTTTGACCGAGTGCTCTTCAGTTATTTCCATGCCTATGCCTCAGATGTGGCTATGAATGTTAGTATACTTTGACTGAATCCATAACAGAAAATTAAAGCGGGCACAATGGCTAAATACAATTATACATAGTCACGGCCCAAGGCCCAACCCGCTCGAAGTAGGCTCGTTACCAAAACTAAGAGTTAATCAAATGACTGAAGCACTGCATGCATGGTAGGAATTTTGTGGCATTTTTGAGGCCTTATGCCACAGAGAGAAAATTCGAAACGCCTCGTTTTAGCCCAAATAATTTCACTACATCAGTTTCGTCGCAGTTTACAAAAAGTGACTTTATGGCTAGCCGAATCCTTTTCTGTTTTGCAAGGTTTAATCGCGTAAAAATTGCTCGATTACCCCGACTTTTCAGTGTGGTACTTTGCTATTATCGCAGCAGGAAAGTAGGAACAAAGTTGTTTTATTCCTTTAGAAAGTATTTGTGCCTTTACTAAAAACCCGATCGATCTTTAGGTTCATATTTTCTGTTAACTAATATCAAGTACATTCTCCTAATGATAAGCTAAAATTTACCTCTTTCCCTCAAAAGATTAATCACTTATTATCCTCGTCTAGCAGCATCGGATTCTTTGACTAATCAAAATTAACCCAAAGACCCAGGGCTTGTAGAATCGAACGCACATTCACAAATGAGTTTAAAACTCATTAGCCAAAATCCCAATGCCAATTGTTAGTGGAAGGCATGAGGCATAGTTGAATACTTACATTCAGACAAAAAAGCAAAAGTAAGGCTGTGGCTAGCCCATGATGACCGCCAAAGTGATTACCATTCAGACGATTGGTCAAAAAAACAAAGCACAGACCTCCAAACCTTGTTTTGCTCTAGGTAAGTACGTCTAATACGCATGAGTAGTTTCTGCACGAATGTGTACCCATCTGACTGCGTCAGTTTCTTAAAAAGACCAGATTTTGGCGTCACTTAAACTTGTTCGATGCACGTATATAGAAAAGGCCACGAAGAGACTCTGTTGCAAAACTCGCGCATGCCATTACTGCATTTTAGTCGCATCATGATCGTGCCGGCAACAGCGCGTATGCCCCCAACACTCTTCCGCGCCATACGATCACCGCAAATGAGTTGAGCAACGACCCAGAGGCGGCCGATTTTACTGGATTTAGTCGACGAGGAAGTCTTCCAGCTTGCTGCTGTTGCCTTGATTTCCACTATTTACTGATCCTCTTTGGAATCTGCCTCATGATTACCGGTTTAGTAATTAGCACTGGCGCTGGAAAAGGACTGGGTAATACCTGGTTGTTAAAGCGGTAAGATTTTTTGGCCACATAAAATCATTGATGATTGACCACCCAGATTCGGTTGAAGTGGGATGCGCAGTTCCACTCCATGTGTTGTCCATGCACGTACTGTGCAAAATTTGAAGAAAATGCACGTTTAAAGTAATTCATTTCGAGTTTTGAAGTGCCATTAGAGAGTTTTGAGATGTCTCCACTTCTGCAACCTTAAGGAAGCCTTCACTCATCTTGTGGGCTGAATTGTGCAAGTAATTGTATTTGCAGCGAAATGTTGGAGTTACAAATATTGCTGCCTCTACACGCATGTCATAGTGTGTACTGCAAAGACCTAGTGAGGATTGGGAGGAAGAAGGACGCAGAGTTGTTTGCCTTGGCTGCTGTGCGATTATGCGAGAGTGAGTCACAGCTTAGAAACTTTTCCCTCCTGTACCAAACACAGCAAACCTGCAGCGAGATTGGATTTTGGACTCTGTTTAAATACACCCCAGTTTTATTCAAGCAGCGTCTTTTTCCTAACCCCACATATCCCTTTCGTTGTTTAAATTGCCTTTTATTTTAACAGTTGGACTACCAAGGTTTATTTTGTGTGGAATACATTGGAGAGCCGTGTTTCATCCACACTCTCTATTGACCGGTGCCATCAAATTTCAAAAAAATAATTAGAGGTTTCCTACAAACAACGACCATTGATACTGCTTAGTTAAAACTGGCTTATCGTCTTGAATGAACACGCGGCTAGTGGAACGCTAGTAAGATTTTCTCGGCGGTCGCTTGAAATAGGAATATTCGAGGCATTTAAGGGTCATTTTGACAAGCTGATGTTGGATGTCCACTTTCAAATAAAACAGTCAAGGATACGATGGAAGGTAGATTAGTCATTGGCTGTTCTAATGGATAGTACTTTGTACATTATCAACTTCTCGAAAAATTGCATAAATCATACACAGTCTACCAGTCAACTTGTCTATTTCTTTGCGAAACTGATTATATCGATCGCTCTCGGGAGCCGTAAGTGTGTTTTAGTTCATAAATTGCCAGATAAAATGCACAAAAGTCATTTTGCGTCCTAATTTTGTTGATGTCCAGTACTTACTCAAGTGTATTTGCTGTGTCTTTGAGGAAATTCAGAAAGGTCACTGCGAACTTCAAAATCTTCAAAATGCTTTAGAAGTGCCCTTCTTTCACGAGTGGAGGCAATGGACGATTACAGGCGTCACATGCGAACTATGGTCCATTACGTCCAACTTAACTATCTCAACTCTCAACGACTTCCCCTGGAACGCAACAAAGCTACGAGACAACTCAGGCGATTGCAAAGAATCCAACATTGGTTGTACTATGAAAAGGTAGGACCTCTATTTTCTGTATCTTCCCAATGTAAGACAATCGAAGGATGAAAACGAACCCCAACGTTTCTACATTGCTTCTTATTTTTGTTACACAATCACCTGTAAGCCAAACAGTCTATTCTTTTCATAATCGATACTTTACTAAGTGTTTGGACCAACTGAAATTAGAAAATCATCTGCAAGAATGTCCGAGAGGTGCACTGTATTTTGCAGGCACACCTCGAAGAAAAGGCTCTAGGTGACTGAAGGTTAGGCTACTTCTTTCCCCAAAAAATGGATGCTGCTTCGAGTGCAACGTAAACGCCTTATTTTCCTCTTTCTGAGCGCACTTGAACTAAGCAAATTTCCTTGATTTCTGCTTTAAGTCTCTCTCGACTATTCAATTTGCTTTGTAAACCACCGTGGGTGTTTTGTACTTAGTAAACGTTGAATTACCCGATTGACACATTTGTGAAAGGGAAATTCGCAACGGTCATGTTCCGAGAGTGAATCCGCTATATTGGAGGACTTCATTCAAACTGATGCTCACTAAAACATCTGTACTTATTTTGCTAACATATTTCATGATCACCTCTCTGCACAGGGCAAGTAAGAAGGTGTCTGCATTGACAACTTGGCTAAGTGAATGTTGAACTCACAGAATCTCTCTACGTAAAGAGATGGAGGACTTTTTAGGCTTTTATACAGTTTTGTATTGTTATTCGGCCTTTATATTCATATTTAAGGTTTGATGTTACGCATCACACAAGAACAAATTTCGAATGAATGCAAATTTGACCTGGCGCAAACCAAGATTGTCAGCTTTTCGTGTTTTGCTTTCGTCCAAAGGCTGTAATTTCCTCTCCCTAAAGTATTTTCTATACGCCTTCGTTGTTCTCCTGTAAAAAAGCAGCAAAAATTCAGATCCCACAAATCTATGTTGCATCTTATTTTAGGAACACATACTGAGGCAAAATCTTTATGAGGTTTGTGCTCTCTCCGAGTCACCAGGTCGAAATCAACACAGTTTTTACGCTTTGGATAGCTCCATCTGTCACCAGATAAGACAAGACCAACAGCGACGACAACAATACCCCTATTCCAATATGGCTTTGCGTAAACCACAAAAAAGCACGTCTTTTATGCCTTCTCAGGATCAGCTCAAACTCCCGTTTTGTACACTTCTGCCTGTACAATCTGCAGGTAATCTATCAGATTAATGGGACCACCTCTTCCGGAAGTCACTGAACGAAAACATTCGACTTTGTCATTTTGGGATTTAAGCAAACCTTTGACTTAGTTCGATGATTGGTTAACTAAGCTCCCTCCCATATTTCCTGGAACATAATAATGCATTTCTCTTTCGAATCTCTGCTGGTTTCATCGTTGCAAAATGGATTTTTGGAACTTAATTTGTTCTACCATCGTATGTATTTTAGCTCGCTTCATGACATCGGTAGACTAACAAAATATTTTGAAAAGATGATCAGTGAAACCCATGGAAAGGTGTAAAGCCATTCAGCTAAGGCGGACAAGACTTGCCGGCTCTTTGCATCACTTTGTTGAACCACATTTCAATAACGCCCTACTTTTACTTTAGACTATGCAACTCTAACTTGCTTTTTTACCTCTGTTATGCTATCATTACTATAAAATATGCACTTAATCCAATCACTTCTTCATGGATTAAAGTTGTGTGTCTTGAGTTTCATGCCTCTCTTGCCATTCTTATGGCGAAATGTGGTAATGAGGAGGCGACAGACAGGGGCTATTCATCCATGCTTTCATTAAAACTGCATAGGCGTCCCTTTGCAAAGGAGCCCCTTTTCTTATGAAAGCAATACACCAACTCCCACGGAAACAAACATTCAACTGCACACCAGCCTTTGTCTCCCATAATAAGTTCGTTAACTTATTTTAAAACAAAATTTTGTAGTCATTTGTGAAAAAACACAACAAAGAAATACGTTTTCATTTAAATGGCTAATATTTGTCTTAAACTCTTCACTGGAGAAGATGGCTTTAATTATAACTTCGTGGTAATTAAACGCTTGAATACTGCAAAGTCGTCGAACCTTGCCATAGCTTATTACATCTTCTTCTGCAGATGCTCTCAACGCCACCCTCAATACTCGAGAAAGGCACACAATTTTAGGGACAGAAAGATCAGTGAACATACTATCGGAGCAGGAGCTACGCCAGCTTCATCAAATGTTTTTTAAAAACTCTGCTTTTGCTGCTTTTCTCACAAGTCTCTATCGCCTCCTTTTTACGACTCTTCTTCTCTCAATGTGCGTCTGCTGGTTACTTGCCTGCAAACACCTGATTATGCAGATGGCGACACGCACTGTGGCCGTTGTTACGAGTAGGGTGAGTGCTTTACATTTATTCAACACTTTAGAGGGTGCACCGTGTAGACAATCCAGGAGCAAAACATCGGTAGACAAGACGATACCTGTGCGACAACGTACCGGGGAGGGGGGGGGGGGGGGGGGGGGGG